TGGGGAATTCTGGGAGTTGAAGTCCACTCATCTTAAAGTGGCCAAGTTTGGACAACCCTGCACTAAGGCATGAAGTTCTTCAAAAAGGTCAATTAGAGCTTTTGTATTTTGACTTCAGTCTTTTCAGTGACACATTAATAAGCTTAAACTCCTTCAGAATGGATCCACAAGTATGAGATTCAGTCCAATTGCAAAGCTTCTGAGAAGACCAGACAAACCCTAAATTGACCAACGGTTGGGATTGTTAAACCTTATTTATTATACAGATTACATAATTTTTTACAACCTCAGTCTGTTTGCTCTGTCTACAAAATTGTTTGAACTGCAGTTTATCTGGTGTCATCTCTTGTAGGTTTTTTACACAATAAACACATCCGCTTGCTAATTGACACCCAAATTAGCAAACTGCCCTGTAGTTGTGCCTTGTAGTGGCAATTTGAAACACACTCAGTGATAGGGGAAACTTTTCACGGCCAAGGAAGCATCAGATTGGTTCCAGATTTAATCCAAAATAACTCATCAAAATAAATTCCGTGGATTGTGAGGGGCTATCCTGGATCTGATTAAATTTGAAAGACAATTGCAAACCCCAACCGATTTAAATGCATTTGTTCTAATGTGACTATACCTGGAGTCGATCCAATAAAACTGGGTGAAATAGAAACATAAGTTGCAATCCAATAGCATTGTTTGATTTCCCCCTTTGAATAAAGAACACAACTTCAGAGCCAGAAATCAAACATTGGGTCCTGTCTGACTGCCAGTCTTAAAAAAAACAAATGGAGACCGTTGAGTGATGAGCGAAGAGCAAGGGAGGAAAAGCATTGGAGCAATATCCCTCAAATTGGTTTCAGCTTCTTGGTTGTATTCGTACAACACCTCAAATCAAATCAGTTAGAAACCTAATGGTTGTATTTGCACAACATGCTGAGCTTCATAAATGCTACTCTTGGTTAATTTTCTTGATGCAGTCTTCTCGCTTAGCATGTTAGGAAAACCAAGACTATCCTGTTAGTATATAGCTAAACGTGTTGGATGAACCTTACAAGGAGATTCATCCAGTAAGCAGGTTAAGTGCGTGGTGTGAATACAGCCATTGTGTCTCAGCACTCGCAAGCATCTCTTGATCTTCGCTTCAGCCCTGCTGGTCTGCAGCCATCCAGAAGCAGAATTTACCAGCATTCTCTTTTTAATCTGTTTGGCAGATGCATCATTGAGCCAAATCAGGTCATTTTTCCATGCTTAATGTTGGATTGTGGATTTAGTTTTGAGGACCTAGATGGCGCTGGCTGATCTTGGAAGAGCTAAACAGGCTCCAACGTGGTTAGTTCTTGGATGGGAGACCACTAGAGACTCTAGGGTTGTAGTCTAGACTGGAAAGTTGAAAAAAGCACCCCAGAAGAAGACACTGGTGAA